GTTTTCACTCCAACCCTAATCTAGTGCATCTGATTCAATAATTAGCTGGTTGATGAACTGAATCAGTTTAGTTATAACTGGGGTTGGAGCGAAAACCTACAGAAAGGTATCTCTCCAGGAACAGGGTTGGAGAGCCCTGACCTAAACAGCCAGCCAGGTTTTCATTAAATAAGCTATAGGCAATACTTTTTATTGCACATTTAGGCCTAATTAAACTGATGCATTTGGCGATGTTCAACTTCAATTCACTGGCACTATGAAGAATAGCTTAGCCATACTCATTGATAGCCTACTATATAGTTTAATATACTTTTGGTGAATTTACGAGGCAGATTACCAAAGATATTGCCGACTGTCTGCCTGCCCCGATCCACTCTCTCCCTCGCCTGCTCTTTCTCTTCGCTATGAAAAACGCTAGTGTGTGTTTGGTCTTCGGTCTGCTGCGTGTATAAAAGCTCAACCTATTCATTGATAGCCCCTACTTTAGTGAACTTACGCGAGCCCTACTTTAGTGAACTTGCGCGAGACATTGTAAACCAAGAAATTGCGAGATACACCATTGCGATAGCCTATACACCTTTTGATTACCGATGCACGGTTCTAACTGTCTGCCTGGTGGCCGACATGCCTGACTCTCTAGCTCGCGCTGTCTTTGCTGTGAAATATATGAGAGTTTGTGTTCTCGGAAGTAGCCTACGAAAACTAGTTTCCTCCGTTGCAAAAATACCGAATCTTAGGAGTCGAGAAGCTTGACACACGGAAATGGAAGTCGACACCGGGAGTCGACGGGCAAGGAGTCGAGGAATCTATTATTTTGGAGTCAACTCCCACCCCGGGGGATTTGCAAGGTGGTGCACTTGTGGTTTCAAAATTCAGAGAAGCCTTCGGTGGCAGCCATTTCGCAGAACAACTTCTATCGTCAATGAGAGTGCCAAAGTAGGAAGTGCTGCTATGGTCTAAAACTCATAGTGTGGTAAAGGAAAAGCCACAATAGGCCCAGCTGGCACAGAAGTAGCTTATTTCTCTGCCTTTTAAAAATAGAGGTGAGTTTGGTTTGGACAAACAAAAACAGGGCCATGTGTTCTAGTCTAGTGCACATTGAATCTTCACCTTGACCTTACAGGCGTATCTCCTGGGTATTGAAACAGACCACAGAATGTTGCACCATTCAGCCATACAAACAACTTCCTCTAGTCCAGTGATTCACACAAGTCGGCCTATAGGACCCCCGGGGGCCTCAGATAACTTTCAGGGGGTCCATGAAAAAGCATGGTCTCTGGATAAAACTAACACTGAAAATAATAGCAGCAAGTCCAAAATATCTCACATTTAATGGAATAACTGTTTGACAGACATTAAAACATTGGACATTTGCATATGAGTCGTTCCATGTCATTTCAGCAAGCCATGACACCCACCTTCTCAGATTGTTCTGAAATGGTTTCTGTAGTTAGAAACAGGTAAGATTGGCATTCCTGAAACATTATTTTGTTGAAATTTAATTTGTTCTCTGAGAATATAATGTATTCCCTGTGAATCTGATGTTTTTTCCCCCCTGTTCAGAGAAATAAGTGGTCCCATGTGGCTCAGTTGGTAGAGCATTGGACTTGCAACGCCAGAGTTGTGGGTTCGATTCTCATGGGGGACCAGTACGAACAAATATGAACATGTATGCACTCACAAGTCGCTCTGGATAAGAGCGTCTGCTAAATGACTGAAATGAAAATAAGTAATTTAAGTCACTTGCATTAATTATCTTAAGGTAGTGTGAAAGTACCAGGTTTTGACCACTAGATGCCACTGTTACTGCTCTACCGCAACAGTTTCTAATAATGAATTTAGTCTTAAGATGATGCTTTTGGGAAACCGGGCCCTGGTCTCTTGTGTTTATTAAATAGATCACAACATTTCCTTTGCAACTTTAGGTAGAAAACCAATAGATTTGGCTCATGATGAAAATACATGGTGTGGTCATCCTCAAAATTCAATCCAGTCCTCCATGAAAGCAATTCAGTTTGCCCTTCTTTTATGCTTCATCTGTGTCCAAGAAACGCTCCCCTTGTGTGTGGTTTATTCCCTTCAAAAAAGGTTTGGATTAGTTACTGTTAGATCATTCTTGGTGAGCAAGCAAACCACGCATGCTTCCCAGTCAAAACAGTTTGCGCAAATATTATGACGACATTGGTGTTTGCTCAAGTTTTTTTTCCGGCTGTTCGCACACATACATTTTTTTCCTGAGGCAAGTTGAAGTTTGGTAGCCGAAGTCTACTACCCTTAGTCGCTGATTGGTCAACAGTACTACTAGTAGTGGTGGGAACTATGGACGGGATTCTTCAATGAAGTGTTTGTTGTCATTTAACAAGAGATTACTAGTTTTCATGCACCTTTTTTCACTTGAGAAATAGTGCACCAAACATCTTAGTTAGATGTAAAATTGCGCGACTAAGACCACCTTGGCATTAATTAAAGATGTATTTATCGTATCTTTTAAGGGATTATGCGAGGTACAGACATTCGCTTCGCCTAGCCGAGTTCTGCTAGGAGCCAACCGAACCTAGTATGCCGGCGGCTATAGGCAGTTCTAATGGTTTCAATGTTATGGTCTCTAATGGTCTTTAATGGTAAAAGTCCAGACACACACTGTATAGTGTTTTTCAATGGTAAGGGCATTGGGTTCTATTAGGGTTGTCACAAAATTTTAGTCCCTAGACCATTTCTCCATCAAAGTTTTGGGCTTGTAGGAAATGTCTCCATATGAGAATTGCACGATAGGGATAGCCCTCTCAGAGAGCGGCCACTTGTTGGACCATTCATGAACGACTGGGATGAATTGTGAGGATGACCACACAATTTATTTTCATAATGAGCCAAATCTATTTGCTTTTCTACCCAAAGTTAAAAAGGAGCCGGAACAGTGGCATCTAGTGGTCAAAACCTGGTACTTTCACACTACTATATGGTAAATAATGCAATCAACTTAAATGACTAATTTCTCTGAACAGAGGCAAAGAAACATATCCAGATTCACAGGGAATACATTACATAGTATGGAAAAGCAACACTACAAGCCACAGCTTCATACTACTTGTCAAACATAGAGATCCAACTGATACTGTATACTGGTTGTTGGGGTGGGATTGGGATTGGCATGGGGTGTGGGATGTCCGTGGGTGAGTTTTTGATATTTTTTGGGGACTCCTTCGTGTCTTACTCATTGGTAGGAAGACGTTTGGTCCAAATCAGATGTTGGGTACTATATTTATTTAATATTATCTGAATCCTATAAATTAAAATAGCCAATTTGGGTGCAATCAATTAGCTTAATTTCTCAGAGATCAAATTATATTTCAACAAAATAATGTTTCAGGAATGCTAATCGTATCTGTTAGTAACTACAACAATAATCTGAGATGGTGGTTTTTGGGTCTGGTTCTGGTTCTGGTGACGGAATTACGCTGAGACTCATTTTTCACTTAAAAGGTTTACCAAACAAAAAGCATTGATTTCAAAGTTTAACAAACCATAGAACTCTATGCACAAGGACTAATTTTAACAATTTCAATAAAATAAAATTCTAGGGAGATTTTAATTGCAATTCTGTTACCAAACTTTGCATATCTGCAGTTTTTCCAGTAAATGTTTTTTTTTTTTTTACTGTGTAAATTGTTAAAAGTAATCATTGTGCATAGAGTTGTATGGTTTGTTGGACTTTGAAATCAATAGTTTTTGTTTAGCATACATTTTAGAGTAAAAAAAGTCTCCGCATAATTCCGTTACCTTGGAATTGCCCCTCTTCCCCTTTTGCTACACTACTCTCTCATTTCAATTCAATTTCAATTTGCTTTATTGGCATGAAGAGCCACAAATGTGTTATGTTTCACTATATTGGATCGCTCCAATATATTGGTATCACGCCACGGCGGAGGGATACGTCCGAGGTGAGGTTTTACAGATTTACTCCCATGTACACCTGTGTCACGGCTGGGGTCCGCCCCTATATATAGACCCCATGGCCGCGACACACATTCTCTTTCATTTTCTCGGCAGACATCCGTTAGGTATGAGGTACAAACTTTCTGAAGTTGGCTTGGTAAGTCACTTCTAAGTGTATCTTGCGTGGATGTATACTCACTAGCTGTTTGCAGCCTGGAGCAGCTGGCCACATGGCCAGCCCCTCCTCTTGAGTGCTCCATTCGCTGCGTGCCTTTGATCTGTATCTTCCGCCCGTGGTTTGTTGTACTTACATTTACATTTTAGTAATTTAGCAGACGCTCTTATCCAGAGCGACTTATAGTTAGTGAGTGCATACATCATTTTTTTTTATTTTTATACTGGCCCCCCATGGGAATCGAACCCACAACCCTGGCGTTGCAAACGCCATGCTCTACCAACTGAGCTACATCCCTGCCAACCATTCCCTCCCTTACCCTGGACGACGCTGGGCCAATTGTGCGCCGGCCCATGCGTCTCCCGGTCGCGGTCGGCTACGACAGAGCCTGGATTCGAACCAGGATCTCTAGTGGCACAGCTAGCACTGCGACGCAGTGCATTACACTACGACTGTGTGCATTCATTAGTATGGTGGCTCTTGCTGCACAAACTGTAATTTACCTTACACAACTTGCCGACTGTGTGTGTTGTGAATTGCTTTAACATGCTGCTCCCCGCGCCTATGGCACAGGTTCTCTGCTAATTACCCTGCAGGGTTTTTTCTTGTTCTTTCCCATGCAGAGTGTAAGAGTATCGTGGTGGGCTTTCCACTACATTGAGACATTAACTTTGGATATCCTTAATGGAGTTACTCCATCATATGGTGCTGTTTTACTGCTTGGATATTAAACGGCTAGGTAATATTGCAGTTGGTGTAAAACCAAATAAATCAAATCCATTACCTGGTTGCTGTTTTTGTCTGCCTGTTTTTCCCACACAGGTCTTCCCCATTTCTTTGCGGAGGTACTGGGTAATTGATCCCTCACTGGGTTCCTATCCCTCCAAGCCGGTCACGACATAAGCTTGCCCAGGGCGTCGGACCCCTGCTCCGTGGCCTTGTTGGCTTGGCTGAGCTTATGGCTTCCCTGTGACAGGTGTGATGGTGGCATCCCCCCTGGGGATCCGCATACCTTGTGTATACACTGCCTGGGTTTGAGCCACGCTGGAGCGCCCTACTGGATGCCTGTTTTTTGTGTGTGGTGTTCTCAGAACGCCTGCGCCTGGCGCGATTGGAGGCCATGCGCGAATGGATCGGCCAGGCTCGGGCTCAGGCTGGGGACGAGCTCCCACCCTCAAGAGTGGTGCGCCAGCGGGCTCTTAGTCCCTCTACTGGGCCCAGTACCCCTCCCAGGAAGCGTGGCCGGAGCCACCGCAGGCAGAGCCCATCTGCTGCCAGTCCTGGATGGGGGCAGGAGTCCAACCGCTGGGACCACCTTGAACGGAGGGTGCATGCCCTGCGTCAGTAGGTTGATAGCTTCGGTGGCGACGACGGCTGTTCCCTGTTGGCCAGTGATAGGCTGTTCCTGGGGGTCGGCTGGGGGGGTGTGACCAAGGGCATGTCGGCCAGCAGCTGTTGGCTACCCCCTTGGAGCGGCAGGCACATCAATACACTAGAGCTTCAAGCTGTACTGCTGGCCCTGCGGTCTTTCCTTCCACGTCTAGCGTCTCTACACACAGCGCACGTACCTGGCATCCTGAATGTGGCAGCGGATATGCTCTCGAGGGAGGGCCCGCCACCTTGGGACTGGAGCCTACATTCCCAGGTGGTGCAGCACCTGTGGGACACGTTTGGGAGGGCGCAGGTGGACCTGTTTGCCTCCCTGGGCAATGCACACTTCCCCCTGTGGTACTCCATGTCGGAGCCACCAGGGCCTCTGGGCTTGGATGCTCTGGCTCACGATTGGGCAGGGTTGGAGCTTTACGCATTCCCCCCTTTTCCCCTGATCCAGGCTGTGCTGGACAGGACCAGGATGGCAGAGCATCGTCTGCTGCTGGTGGTCCCAGACGACCCTGGTTCAGCTTTCTCCTGTCCCTGTTGTCTGGGACATCTTGGCAACTGTCCCTGAGACCCGACCTGCTGTCTCAGGCCGGGGGAACTCAGTCGCATCCGAGACCACACCGCCTCAGTCTGTGGGCTTGGCCGCTGAACGGCACCAATGGTCCATGTTAAGACTACCGGAGGGCGTAGTGAACACCATGCAGAGCGCAAGGGCACCACACTGCTGTCTAAGCTGAGCAGCAGGCTGTTGTATGTTATTGTGTTACGTACCTGTAGACAGGTTTTTCAATTAACTTTAGTGTTGTGTTATGAATTTGTGGTTTGCCTGTGTTACGAATACAGGTATCCTGTATGTGTTTTTCCTCTCCTTCTGCCCTAATCACAGTTGTCCTTTGTGTTCCTGATTGGAGGTCGTTGGTGTGTCCCACCTATCAGTCATCAGTTAATCTGCTGATTGACCAATCAGTGGACATTTCTCCTGATTGCACCACCTGTTTCTGTTTTCTTACCCAATCATATCACACATCCCCTTGTTTTAAAAGCTAGTCAGTTGTGTTTTCTGACAGACTCTTTTTGTTTGTGAGTATGTATACGGTGGTGTCTTGTTTTTGTGTACTCACTCGTTAACTGTTTAGTCCGTATGGTACCTATATTGTTTGTTTGTGCCTGGGAAAAGGAGGATTTAGCAAGTCGCCCTTGGGCATACACTACCCGTAGGAAAACCTTGTCTAAACACACTAGTTAGACCTGAGCGGACCACCCACTGTATTTTTGTATGGTTAGTAGTAAGCGTAGTAGTTCTTGAGGCAGGCAAGATCAGTTTAGGGTTTTTTTTTTTACATTTACATTTAACATTTAAGTCATTTAGCAGACGCTCTTATCCAGAGCGACTTTATTGTTTCATTCCTTGGGTCCAGCTCAGCCCCTTTTCCCCAAACCATTAACCGTGTGTTTTATAATAAACATTGTGTGTTTGACGGTAGCATTTGGTTGTTGGCGTATTTTGTTCTCACTGTTCCTTGGCAATAGCCTGATTTGCATGAGTTATGTTACGGGCCTCTTTTCCATCCACCCTAGACTTTTAAAGCCACGGGGTTCGTAACAGCCTGTTTGGTCAAATAAAAATATAAAACTTGAATAGAGAATATTGACTGTTAGCTTGTTTATTGGAATGCCAAAAGGAGTTGGTAAAATGTGCATACACGTGTTGGCATTCCACATATTCTTGGTCACATCCCAGTCATAACCCCAGCAGCCATGGTACTGTAGAGTTTGTACTTAAGGCTTACAGTTTCTAAAGCCTTTACCACATTCTTCAGAGTAGTGTGTACACTGAACATAAACGCAACAATTTCAAAGATTTTACTGAGTTACAGATATTCATATAAGGAAATCAGTCAATTGAAATAAATTCATTAGACACTAATCTATGCATTTCACATGCCTGGGAATACAGATATGCATCTATTGGTCACCGATACTGTACCTTAAAGAAAGGTAGGGGCGTGGATCAGAAAACCAGTCAGTAGCTGTGTTCGAATACCCATACTAACATACTGTATACCACATGAGTGTATGTACTATATACTATTAGTTCATTTTAGAATACTGTAAACGGTATCCTTTCAGTTGTGTACTAGCACATCGACCTGTCTACCTGAAGTTGATGCTGTTGCTATGCAACTTCTTGCTAGCTTGTTAGCATAGCTAACAAATTACTAGCTAGACATCTTACAACTTCATTAACAATGTCCATTGAGAACGCACAACGACTATACCACTTAGCTAAAATGACGTGAATACTCAAGTCAATAAACGTTGGGTAGTTAGAGAGCATATAGTTAATATACTGGCAAGTTCAATGTATTAGTAGCCAACTAACGTTAGGTAAGTTGGCTAGCTAACACCGGCTATACATACTGCTGTAATGATATGCTATACGGTTCGTAAGGATAGCGTAGCTAACAAATTGTCAGCCAACATAACGTGTAACTTATTTGAAAATTCATTACTTTATCACATTGCTCAATATTTTCTTAACATTTGTCATAATTAGTTGTATCCTCTCTCGTCGGACTTCGGCTGCATATTTTCCGCCATTTTCTTCAAATCTGAAAACGTTGAAGCCACGCCCATTTTCGGAAGAATTGCATTATGGGCGCTAAAAGCACGGAAATAGTGTCCACTGCTTGTATACTTCGTATTTTGGCGAATGTAGTACCACATCCGGGAACTTTTGGCATACTAACTATATCCATACTATGACCAATAAGCATACTACATACTCAATTTATGTCACAAATAGTAAGGTTACTATGAGTTTTCAAACACAGCTAGTATCTGGTGTGACCACCATTTAACCCATGCAGCGAGTCATCTCCTTCACATAGAGTTGATCAGGCTGTTGATTGTGGCCTGTGAAATGTTGTCCCACTCCTCTTCAATGAGTACGGTTACATGCACACTAATAATTTGATATTAAACGGATTATAGCAGTAGTCTGCTAAGTGGCATATTATTATTATTATTATTATTATTATTATTATTATTATTATGCAATAGTCATGTAGACACCTTACTTTGCTTATCTTAATTGGCGTAAGGTCAAAATCGTAAGCATATGCCGTTTAAAACAGCTGGTTTTCTGAGCAATCTTTTGAATGTTAAGGACATGTAAACACCTTATATCGGCATTCCAGCGGTGTATTTGATCTGCGTGTGTGCTAGCACCAGCCGAGCAAGCCTCCCTCTTTAGTGCGAGAGAAGGGAGTACGGAACAACTGAATGTATGCGTAGTAGAAGTAGTTTTCACATACATACTTTATATGTCCGAACTCAGAATCAAATATGCTTCCCAAAAATAACATGTTCACTGTTATGATTGCCGATTTTCTGCATTTAGGTACCCTGATTTCAGATGTGTCCATATAAACAGGATTATTAGGGGAATCGTTCTTCTTGCAAAGCATGTAAACGTTTTAATCAAACTATTGTATTCGTCTGACTATCTGGAATCTCATTATTGTTTGCATGTAACTACTCAATGGCTGTGCGAAGTTGCTGGATATTGGTGGGAACTGGAAAACGCTGTCGTACACGTCGATCCAGAGCATCCAAAAATGCTCAATGGGTGACATGTCCAGTGGCGATTTTAGCATGTAAATCTTGGTGGGGCAAAAAAATACAAAGTGGGATGCATGCCACAACACAACACATTAATTGCACTAGAACGGTGACAAACGGTGCCCACAAACTGTTAGGGCCTACATAAAGCTGTCCCAACAGCAGTCCCAACATTTTACCACTGGTACACCTGGCTATCAGCAGAGCCTTGTCTGGCAGTTAAACAGTTCATTCAGCCTCATTTACTGCCTTTTAAAAAAACACACTAACGGTCAAAAGTTTTAGAACACCTACTCATTCAAGGGTTTTTCTTTATTTGTACTATTTTCTACATTGTAGAATAATAGTGAAGATATCAAAACTATGAAATAACACATATGGAATCATGTAGTAACCAACCTGGAATGCTTTTCCAACAGTCTTGAAGGAAATCCCACATATGCTGAGCACTTGTTGGCTGCTTTTCCTTCACTCTGCTGTCCGACTCATCCCAAACCATCTCAATTTGGTTGAGGCCAGGTCATCTGATGCAGCACTCCATCACTCTCCTTCTTGGTCAAATAGCCCTTACACAGCCTGGAGGTGTGTTGGGTCATTGTCCTGTTGAAAAACAAATGATAGTCCCACTAAGCGCAAACCAGATGGGATGGCGTATCACTGCAGAATGCTGTGGTAGCCATGCTGGTTAAGTGTGCCTTGAATTCTAAATAAATCACAGACAGTGTCACCAGCAAAGCACCCCGACACCATAACACCTCCTCCTCCATGCTTTACGGTGGGAAATACACATGCAGAGATCATCCGTTCACCCACACTGTGTCTCACAAAGACACGGCTGTTGGAACCAAAAATCGCAAATTTGGACTCCAGACCAAAGGACAAATTTCCACCGGTCTAATGTCCATTGCTCGTGTTTCTTGGCCCAAACAAGTATCTTCTTCTTATTGTGTCTTTAGTAGTGGTTTCTTTGCAGCAATTCGACCATGAAGGCCTAATTCACACAGTCTCCTCTGAACAGTTGATGTTGAGATGTGTCTGTTACTTGAACTCTGTGAAGCATTTATTTGGGCTGCAATTTCTGAGGCTGGTAACTCTAATGAAGTTATCCTCTGCAGCAGAGGTAACTCTGGGTCTTCCATTCCTGTGGTGGTCCTCATGAGAGCCAGTTTCATCATAGCGCTTGATGGTTTTTGCAACTGCACTTGAAGAAACTTTCAAAGTTCTTGAAATGTTCTGTATTGACTGACCTTCATGTCTTAAAGTAATAATAATAATAATATGCCATTTAGCAGACGCTTTTATCCAAAGTGACTTACAGTCATGTGTGCATACATTTTTACGTATGGGTGGTCCCGGGGATCGAACCCACTACCCTGGCGTTACAAGCGCCATGCTCTACCAATTGAGCTACAGAGGACCACTGATGGACTGTCGTTTCTCTTTGCTTATTTGAGCTGTTCTTGCCATAATATGGACTTGGTCTTTTACCAAATAGGGCTATCTTCTGTATACCCCCCCTACCTTGTCACTACACAACTGATTGTCTCAAATGCATTAAGAAGGAAAGATATTCCACAAATTAACTTTTAAGAAGGCACACCTGTTAATTTAAATGCATTCCAGGTGACTACCTCATGAAGCTGGTTGAGAGAATGCCAAGCGTGTGCAAAGCTGTCATCAAGGCAAAGGGTGGCTATTTGAAGAATCTAAAATCTAAAATATATTTTGATTTGTTTAACACTTTTTTGGTTACTACTATTTGTTTAGCACTTTTGAAATGTACAGCGACAGAATTCAGAACATGGGCCGTTCTTACAGTGTTCTCCCTGTACACCAAGTCAGAACCGTAGGATAAATAAAGGGGGCATATAAGCAGACAATGAAAGCTCTTACAATATTTGATGATTACATTTCTCTAAAACAGGTTATAGGCTACATGTGCACCACCAAGTCAGAACAAAAGGCGAAATTAAGAGGGGTATGCGACATGTATTAATGCCAAAATAACATGCAAAACAGGAAAGCCCCCCCCCAAAAATAAAATAATGTTTTCTATTTTGCTAAAAATGTGGGCTCTGCCCCACCTGCCCTGAATGACGGGTTGCCACTGAACATGTCTGGTGAGTATGCAGCAGGCCATGGAAGAACTGGGACATTTTCAGCTTCCAGGAATTGTGTGCAGATCCTTGCGACATGGGGCTGTACATTATCATGCTGAAACATGAGGTGATGGCGGCGGTTGAATGCACGACAATGGGCCTCAGGATCTCGTCACGGTATCTCCGTGCATTCAAGTTGCCATCGATGAAATGCAAGTGTATTTGTTGTCAGTAGCTTATGCCTGCCCATACCATAATCCCACCACCACCATGGGGCACTCTGTTCACAGTGTTGACATCAGCAAACTGCTCGCCCACAATACGCCAAACACGCTGTCTGCCGTCTGCCATCTGCCCGGTACAGTTGAAACCGGGATTAATCTGTGAAGAGCACAGTTCTCCAGCGTGCCAGTGGCCATCGAAGGTGAGCATTTGCCCACTGAAGTCGGTTACGACGCAGAACTTCAGTCAGGTCAAGACCCTGGTGAGGATGACCAGCATGCAGATGAGCTTCCCTGAGACGGTTTCTGACAGTGTGTGCAGAAATTCTTCGGTTCTGCAAACCCACAGTTTCCTCAGCTGTCTGGATGACTGGTCTCAGACGATCCCGCAGGTGAAGAAGCTGGATGTGGAGGTCCTGGGCTGGCGTGGTTACACGTGGTCTGTGGTTGTGAGGCCGGTTGGACTTACTGCCAAATTCTCTAAAACGACGTTGGAAGCGGCTTATGGTAGAGAAATTAACATTAAAGTCTCTGGCAACAGCTCTGGTGGACATTCCTGCAGTCAGCATGCCAATTGCACGCTCCTTCAAAACTTGAGTCATCTTTGGCATTGTGTTGTGTGACAAAACTGCACATTTTAGAGTGGCCTTTTATTGTCCCCAGCACAAGCTTCTTGATGTGCCACATTTGTCAGGTGGAGGATTATCTTGGCAAAGAACAAATGCTCACAAACAGGGATGTAAACCAATTTGTGGCTGAGTGTCTGGACAGACTGGCATGTAGGTACGTCTGTATCTCTCTTCTTTACCCCTCTGGGCTCTCTCCTTTATCTACTACAGTGTTCCCAACCCTCTCCTTTATCTACTACAGTGTTCCCAACCCTCTCCTTTATCTACTACATTTTGGTAGACCCAGTCCTTTTGATTTTAACCCCCTTTAAAAAAGGGGGTTAAAGGCCAGCTTTGTCACACTGCTAACTTGTTATAATTCTTCCACATTTAAGTATAATTCCTCCTGGATAAGTTTAATCGGGTATGTCGGTTGGTGCAGGGTTAGAACAACGTGGGGTGTCTGGGTATCTCCCAGCAGAGTGCTGAGAGACACAAGGACCATAATGTCTTCACACACAAAGGCCTCAGAGACAGCCGTGCATCCCAAATGGTACTCTAGTATTTCTTATATAGTGCACTACTTTTGACTGAAGTGTTTTTTTAAATTATTTTTTTACAATGTGGTTCACAGTGCGGACCCAGCTGACACAGTGTGACCTGTTCGTGTGACTTCAGCCACCCAGACAAGATGGCCTCTCTGAACAGAGTGGAACGGGGTGACCCTGCCAAACATGACTTCAGGCTGAGGAGTGAGGGAGGAAGAGGAGAGGAAGAAGGAGAGGATAGACAGGAGGAGGAGAGGAAAGGTGGAAGTGTGTGTGTGTCTGTGTGTGTCTGTGTGTGTGTGAGGAAAGCTTGGAGCCAATGGGTTATAGAACTGGATAGGGTCCAACATTAGTCCACATATCACACTTGTAATCAAACACATTTTTCTCTCAGTTTAATGATCACAACCTAAAAATGACAGGTGAAGACTAGTATAATATATACAACTTCACTACATTTAACTTACGACATGCAACTTCATAACATTAACCTTATAACATGAAAATAAACACTCCATTGTGAATACGCTTCCTAATAAAAATCTGGTTCCCTCCCTTCTATCTCTACCAGCTACTTTATGCGTTTGTTTTCTTCCCTTTATTTAACCAGGTAAGTCATTGAGAACACACACACACACACACACACACACACACACTGTGTTGCTGGTTATGGTCAGAGTGGTTGCAGGGTGCAGCAGGCAGCACTGGCTCTGTGCTCCAGTTCCTATCTCCATGTCTATGAGCAGCAGAGGTGTGTGTGTGTAGTGGTCTATCATCTCCTTCACTCCTGGGAAACTCTGCATCAGCAACACAACAACAGCAGCAGCAGAGAAGGGAAAGAACCATTGGTTAGTTTATGATGTGTTAGCAGGTTGGCATTTATTGTCATGAACTCTGCAGAGTGGTCATTAGCGGGCATTGCCTCAAAGTCATACAATCTGATTTTAAACCTAACCCTAGCCTAACCACCTAATGCCTAAACCTAACTTTAAATTAAGACCAAAAAGCAAATGTTTGTTTTCATAATTTTTTTATGATATAGACCATTTTGACTTTGCAGCTGGCCTTACCAGCGGAAATCGCTCAGTTCTGCCTCAAAGGCAAGATTCATGACAAACGTCAACCTGCGATGTGTTAAAGGTTCAACGCAGCCGTTTTCATCTCAATATCAAATCATTTCTGGGTAACAATTAAGTACCTTACTGTGATTGTATTAATTAAGATTGTCAAAAGGAAACAAAAATAGCTTCTTAGCAAAGAGCAATTTCTCAAGCAAGAATTCTGCTAGGACTGTCTGGGAGTGGTCTGAGTGGGGAGTGAAAAACTGAAAACTGGCAGAGAGGTTTGGAACTCTTTTTTTTATTGGTCTATTAACTAATTTACCGCCTGATTATCACCAGGCAAGCCAAAACTCCATCCCACAAAAACAGAAATTTCAGGCGGCCTTTTCAAACAGCTCTTACACTAAAATGGCATCATTTTCACAATTTCAACGTATTCCAATCTCATAGTGTGGAAATATATAAAACACAGGAAAATCATATTTTTTTATGCACTGGGCCTTTAAGTCATCAAGACAACAAGTGGGTGGTGTTTATCTGTGCACAGCCAATAAACCCTACAGCCTGAGGCCCAGATCTGTTTGTAAACTGTAAGCTACTTTAGATAAAAGTGCCTGCTAGCTAGATGACCGATGTTTTATTGCATTTGCATGCTAAGCTGAAATTCTGTGGCCTGATTGGTAATGACGCCGGCACATACAGTGTCCACAAAGGTTTTAATCCGGCCTAGTGACCTTTGACACAACCTCTATATTTTCCCACCGTCATTCTCTCTCACTATCTGTTCAATAAAATCATGAAAAAATCTACTAAAAAGAAGAGAAGTCTAATTGATATTTGTGAGGGAATCTCTTGACGGAGCAGAGAGGAGGCTGTTTGTTTACCTCGATACCCATGAGGCCGGTGCCCAGGTGGTATGTGTTGCCTTGGTGACGTATCTGGACGTTGTAGACCTTGCCTTGGTTCAGCACCATGAGGGTGTAGGGCTGCTCAGAAGAGCCCTTGGAACTGTCCCTCACCAGAAACGCTCCATCCTGAAAACACACACAGCTACATTGATACACACTGTGTGGGTGCGTGTTGTGTGTGTTAGTGAAGCCCACCAGGGGAGGGGGATTCCTGACCTTGTTAACCCATCTGAGTGATGCTTCAGCCTGGCCTCTGGTCACCAGTCCTCCATACCACACAGGGACCATGTCCTGCACACAGCAGGGAACAGCAACAGACCAACAGTGTAAGAATGCAAAAAATTAAGAGAAAACCCATTGTGTCTAGATCCACGTGTTGGTTGGGCAGGAGCAACTAGTAGGCTGTTCAAAAACACGTGTAAAACAGCACTCTAGACCGCACACACCAGTCTTCTCTAGTGTGCGGTTTTTACACTTGTTTTTGAATGCTGTTAAATTCTTAGGCACGTTACCTGTGGGGTGTTTCTGCATGGTTGTGTTTCATAGGTTTTGTAGTGTTTTGTGTGTGGACTCTAAGAGAAGTGTGGTCATGACCCTAGTGTTTGTATACTGCAACAGTGCCATATTGTGGCCAGTGACGCTAATTACATGCACTTGATCATTCTCATTTTTATTACATGTATAATATTGTTATGATGATATGTAAATGACGTTTGAAAAGCAGTATGGACGATATGGATTGCATAAAGGCTCTGCTGATGTAAACTACTGCTGTAAAAAGGGTGTTTGACTGATTGATCTGCTCACCTCCTCTGTGCCTGGCTTTGTGTTGTGGACCATTGAAGGAGGTGGGTGAGAAGGAGGAGCAGGAAGAGAAGGAGGAGCAGGTTTACTGGAGCTCGATCTGTTGGTAGAGAAGACATTCTAGTACAATGTGTTAGGAGGACGGGGCTCGATCTTCATCTCAATAGTCGAAAGTGAATTATTCTCCTCTAATTTTCACTCTCTGAATTTACTGAAGGAACTTGAACCCGTAAAAACAACAGTTTTTCGTGTTTAGATGTTTAGTCATTTAGCAGACGCTCTTATCCAGAGCGACTTACAGGAGCAATTAGGATTAAGTGCCTTGCTCAAGGGCACATCGACAGATTTTTCACCTAGTCGGCTCGGGGATTAGAACCAGCGACCTTTCGGTTACCGGCACAACGCTCTTACCCACTAAGCTACCTGCCGCTTCATCAAGACTGTCTTTCAATAGAAAAACCGAGAAAAGGAACAAGCACCTTTAGACTGTTGAGTTACAGTCAAGGAGTTAATGGTAATGGAGAGGTCAGGGTTAGGTTACCTATAGTCTGGTGGCGTTGGGGCCTCTAGCTGAGGTGGCTTCACTATGGCGGGCTGGGGAGAGCGGAATGGACTGCCCTCTCCTGGACACCGTTGGTAGTCACCAAACAGACACAAGAAAGACAGAAGTTAGGACAAAACATTGCATTCTCAACCTACTAGTCAACAGTAGCCATAATGGTGGCAATCTGTTCCTACCGAAGCTGACTTTTCTTTGTCTTTGTAAGGCACTACTGACAATGCCTTTCTAATTGCCCCTTGGGGATTAATATTGAATTGAATTGAAAAGACTTGACTTGAACTGAATAAACAGACTAGGAGGCTAAATCAACAGGACAACAGACAGTTGACAGCTAGTTACTTGTAGGAGTTGTTTTGGTGTTTGCGTGATAATGAGGAGGTTGTTTCTTGGTGGGAGCGGGCTGTCCAGGCTTCTTGCTTCGGTCGAACAGGGGGACAGAAGGGCCTGTTGGGGCTGTGGGAGGAAGATATTTAGGAAGAAATGTTTGGGAATCCCTGCTTTAAACCACTATCCTCCTGTTCCTTATTTTCATGGTGCTGATCACATCGGAATAGTCCTACTCTTTACAATATCAACACAAGCAGCTAAGAGACAGACCGTATGATCTCCGATAACATGATCAGAGTGACTTACGTTTGCCTGCAGCTTTGAATGGCCTCTGAGGGGAGGGGTCTAGTCTGGATGTGGGAGGTCTGGCCAGCTAGAGAGAGGGAGAGAGAGAAAGAAAGTGAGGGGAAGAGAGAGTGACAGAGAGCGGGAGAGTGTTGGAAGCTTAGTTAACAATGATTGATCTCAGGAAAAGAGAGGAGTATGAGGAGGGTAAGAAATGGACGGATGGTAACATAAAAGAAAGAGCAGATGAAAAGGTTAAAGGTTGGTGGTATGAAAAGGTAGGGCTCTGTAAAGAAGACAGGATGAGAAGAGGCTACAAATAGTGATGGTGTGATGAAGAAGTCACTCACTGTGTTATGGCTGGGGGCTGGGGCCTGAGGACCAGGGCGCTGGTGTGGTCTGGGAGTCCTTCCAGTTGGAAGGGCTATTGGCGGACCTCCACACACAGAATCTACACACACACACACACACACACAGCCGAGCTATTGAACCTACAGTATGTATTTACTAAAGACAGTCAGTAATGGTTAACTGTACAGCTTCTGTACCTATATAGTCACTGTTCCCTAGGGGCTTGGTGAGATTGAGGAGGCGGGGGATCTCCTCTGTAGCCGATGAGGGAGGAGGCTCATAGTCATCATCACTCCCCTCTTCCTCCTCTCCCTCTGCAGGTGGTGGGGGTGGCAGGCGGTTAGACAAGGCAGAGATATAACTGTCGTCCTCATCAGGGTTCTCATAGTCGTTATCACTCATTTCCTGACAGACCAGGAGAGGAGAGGAGAGGAGAGGAGGGGAGGGGAGGGGAGAGAATATGTGGGGAGGGGAGAGGAGAGGAGAGGAGAGGAGAGGAGAGGAGATGTGGGGAGGGGAGAGGAAAGGAGAGGAGAGGAGGGGAGGAGAGGTGGGAAATGGGAAATGACAGGTTGGTGATTAGTGATATGGTTTTGATGACAAGGGTCTTCTATTGATGATCTAAAGCTAGATTTATACATTCTGTGGATGGATATGTGGTTTGGTAGCAATGTAATGTCAAAGTGAGTGTCTTGCAGTACACGACAGACTCACAAACTCTTCTGAATCCCAGGCTTCATCTACTTCGTGTACAAAATCTAAAGAGAGAAAACCAACCATACAATGAGGAGAGGGAGGGAGATGTTTCTCCTGAGATATAGTAGCTGTAGTGTTAGGGCAGTGGGGCTGGGCCGTGATACAGTACAGTTCTGTTTACCTTGTTGATGGTTCTTAGGTTCCTTTGATCTGGTGAAGACATGAGGAACATGGTTGTGTAGTGTATCTCTACTGTCCTGTCACACATCAGAGATGAGTTCTCATGGTGGAGATGTATGCTATGTGTAGGCTAGTAGATTAGTATTTCTCACCTCTGACCGAACCACTTCTCCTCTTCACTCCTGTTGATCTCACTACAGATCTTAGTGATGACTCTAGAGAATTTATTGAAATCATTGAGTAACACAATGTTATCAAATTCAGTACTTTATCTCTCTCTCTCTCTCTCTCTCTCTCTCTCTCTCTCTCTCAATCTCACTCTCTCTCTCTTTCTCTCTCTCTCTCTCTCTCGCAGGCACACACACACAGTATTGTATAACTAACCTTGTGGGGACACAAAATTCTGTCCCATTAAAAATGTTCCCTAACCCCTACTTCTAACCCTTAACCTAACCTTAACCCTAACCCTAACCCTAACACCAAACCTAAACTTAACCCTAAACCTAACCGTAGCTCCTGACCCTAACCCTAACACAAATTCTAACCTTAACCCTAAACCCCCTAGAAATAGCATTTGACCTTGTGGGGACCAACATAATGTCCCCAACTTGTCACATTTTTGTTAGTTTACTATTCTTGTGGGAACTTCTGGTCCCCACAAGTATAGTTAAACATGTCCGCACACACACACACACACACACACACACACACACACACACACACACACACACACACACCATCATGCTCTGTCTTGCGCTCTCTCTCTCTGCCTTTTCATTAGAAGATTCATCAGGTTATTTCCAGCTACACGTCCTCCAGCATCACACACACACCACATATAGAAACCACATCACGGTTATTAAAAGCCACTGACTTATACAGTACTGCAGCAGCCACACACACACACAGACACACAGACACACACACACACACACACAGACACACAGACACACAGACACACACACACACACACACACACACACACACACACACACACACACACACACACACACACACACACACACACAGACACAACCATGTCCAAACCAACTGTATTGTAACAGCCAGATTAAATGGTCTCAGTAAAAGACTTTCAAGGAGGTTTTTGTGTGGTAGAGGAGACTGGTTAAGACTTGCTTAAGGGACCAGAGTTGCTTCACAAGTGTTACCTTATCTGATTATGAAATTAAATAGTTTAGACTTTAGACTTACGGAATATGAATGGTTGGAAACTTCTGAAGGTCGCCATCTTTCATCTTCTGTAACGGTACAGTGACAGCATAGATCATTAAAGTACCATCTTAGTTGTATCACAGTATACAAGAGCAGCTGCACACACCCACACACATACAAAACAAACAAACCCTCACACAGCCACACACAAATAAACACACACACACACACACACACACACACACACACACACACACACGCTCAACACCAACACAACCCCTCACACCCACACACACACACGCTCAACACCAACACAACCCCTCACACACACACACACACACACGCTCAACACCAACACAACCCCTCACACCCATTCACACACACACGCTCAACACCAACACAACCCCTCACACACACACACACACGCTCAACACCAACACAACCCCTCACACACACACACACACACACACGCTCAACACCAACACAAGCCCTCACACCCACACACACACCCACCCTCTTACCAGAAAGCGTGCTCCGTTCATGCTGGTCTTCATCACCACTTTGTCACAACTGGACAGCCTCAGCTGAGAACGTCACAACACACCAGAGATGTCACACATCAGGACAGAGGTCACTCTCACTTTCTTAATGCATGCAAATGAGCTGGGTCTGTATTCATGAAGCACCTGAGTGCTGATCCAGGACCAGTTTTGGCTTTTAGATTATAATGAATGGACCGGGAGGACCTGGTCCTAGATCAGCAGTCCTACTCTGAGAGGCATCATACAGGCCCTGATCTGTCTCATAACTGCTGGCACTCATATGGGCAATTCAGTTCTAAACCGAAATCACAAGAAAGATGAGAATTGTAATGCTGATGAACCACTGATGTTAAGACCTGCATTATCAACAGAAGAACACGAGCCATAAAGTGTTCACCCTCACCCTCTTCATATAGTCGGCTAGACTGCGGGCGTTCCACCCCATCACCTCCGACTTGGCAGGAACACTGTCAAAACTCATCGTCCTCTTCTGTCCAAAGCTTTCCTCTCGTCTTAGTAAGCCTTGAGTCCAAGGCTCTTCTCCTAGATCCAAGGCTCTTCTGTTGGTAAAGTCCAAGGCTCTTCTCTTAGTAAGGTCCACGGTTTTTAGTAAAGTCCAAGGCTTTTCTCAAGTGTGAGTAAGGTCCAGGGCTTTGGCTTTCCTCCTAGACAATCCACACAAGGGAATCAGATCCACACTCCAGGAAACCTCTGTGAATGTACACGGTAGTTAACAGTAAGTCTCCCCTTTTTAGTCTCATGTTGGTCCTTAGCTGCTACACCATGCTCATCCTGTAAGCCATATAGGTGGATAGATAAATACTTAGCATTAGTTTACTGGCGATGGTACTGTTTCTACAGGCCTCTCTGGTGTCTCTGTAACTGTGAGGCGGCAGTGTGGACTTCAGTTTGTCACCCTATGCCTTTCCTGTCACAGGCAGTCAAAAGAGGAAGTCTTATAGGCCACAGAGGATGCAAAGAAGAGAAGAGAGAATTTTGTCCCAAACGGCTCACTATCAGCCATGGTCCAAAGTGTCCTATATAGCGAATAGGGTGCCATTATAGTGAATAGGGTGCCATTATAGCGAATAGGGTGCCATTATAGCGAATAGGGTGCCATTTGGGACGCAAACCTAGAGCTAGCCTGCTTCACTGTGTAGGCCTATAGATGGGCCTTCTCTATACTTAGAAGATGATGATGACTGGCTAAATGTATCGCTACCCATGTGACTTTAAATGTTATATAGAAGATCATCTATTATATCAATATGCCTTAAACCAGGCCTGTACTAAGGTCAGATATGGTCCTTTATTATATGGTCCTCTCCTTCTGCATCAGACTGGGTGCTATGTGTAGTAACTCAGCCTGCTTAGATCTAACATTACATTTCAGACTAATATGTGTTTTCAAACACAGAGACCTAGCTACAGTAGCTAGTCTCAGTCTCATTGGACCCTCCTCTCATAGGATTGTTGAGGGACAGAAAGACAGTTTGTGCCTCCTTTACTATATAGTAAGTTGACTTTAATATCTGCCCAGCAACAGTGATTATTAGATGATATGTGATTGTGTCCTGAGTCTCTACGTCTACGTTTAGACGGAGAGCCCAATTCTGATAATTGTTTCACTAATCCCTTTAACCAATCAGATCAGCTCTGAAAAATATATGATGTGAAAAGATCTGATGTGATTGGTCAAAATACCAATTAGTGGGAAAAATATGAGAATTGGGTTGCCTGTCTAAATGCAGCCTACAATGTGTGTGCCCAATGATGTGTTATTCAGCCTGCCGCCTGTGTTCAATGTCTTATTCAGCCTGCCACCTTATATTCTTCACACTCCAATATGGTGGCCGAACGGTCCACTTGGATCATAGCATTTAAATTGGAATATCTATTTTACTGCATTTCTATGTACATGGGCCAGGCCTGCAGACTGTTGTGATGGCACAGATAGCCAGCCCACCATGCAGCCCACTGCTGAGTCTGGTATCTCACACCAAGGTAAGAGAGGAGGGGATAGAGGGGGGAAGGCTGATCAGTGAACCCCCAGGCATGCAGGGCTGTCTGGGTATGAATACAGCCGTACCCCTGGGGGGTCCTGACAAAGGCTGCCCCCCAGCCTCCAGGCTCCACCATATTGAGAGACATTCCTTCAGTCAGAGGCTGCAGCTGAATGGCACCCTATTATCCATACCGTGAACTGCATTTAACCAGGGCCCGGCTCTCGCTAAAAGTAGTGCACTGTATAGGAAATAAGGTGTGTGAAACCTAAGTGAGTTGAAAACAATGGAGAGCCTTTAGAGAACAGTGTTCCAGCGTGTTGGTTGGTTGACCCCCAGGGCCTTTAGAGAACAGTGTTCCAGTGTGTTGGTTGGTAGACCCCCAGGGCCTCTAGAGAACAGTGTTCCAGTGTGTTGGTTGGTTGACCCCGAGGGCCTTTAGAGAACAGTGTTCCAGCGTGTTGGTTGGTTGACCCCCAGGGCCTCTAGAGAACAGTGTTCCAGTGTGTTGGTTGGTAGACCCCCAGGGCCTCTAGAGAACAGTGTTCCAGCGTGTTGGTTGGTAGACCCCCAGGGCCTCTAGAGAACAGTGTTCCAGTGTGTTGGTTGGTAGACCCCCAGGGCCTCTAGAGAACAGTGTTCCAGCGTGTTGGTTGGTTGACCCCCAGGGCCTCTAGAGAACAGTGTTCCAGCGTGTTGGTTGGTTGACCCCCAGGGCCTCTAGAGAACAGTGTTCCAGCGTGTTGGTTGGTAGACCCCCAGGGCCTCTAGAGAACAGTGTTCCAGTGTGTTGGTTGGTTGACCCCCATGGCCTCTAGAGAACAGTGTTCCAGTGTGTTGGTTGGTTGACCCTCATGGCCTCTAGAGAACAGTGTTCCAGTGTGTTGGTTGGTAGACCCCCAGGGCCTCTAGAGAACAGTGTTCCAGTGTGTTGGTTGGTAGACCCCCAGGGCCTCTAGAGAACAGTGTTCCAGTGTGTTGGTTGGTTGACCCCCAGGGCCTCTAGAGAACAGTGTGTTGGTTGGTTGACCCCCAGGGCCTCTAGAGAACAGTGTTCCAGTGTGTTGGTTGGTTGACCCCCAGGGCCTCTAGAGAACAGTGTTCCAGTGTGTTGGTTGGTTGACCCCCAGGGCCTCTAGAGAACAGTGTTCCAGTGTGTTGGTTGGTTGACCCCCAGGGCCTCTAGAGAACAGTGTCCCAGTGTGTTGGTTGGTTGACCCCCAGGGCCTCTAGAGAACAGTGTCCAGTGTGTTGTTGGTTGACCCCCATGGCCTCTAGAGAACAGTGTTCCAGTGTGTTGGTTGGTTGACCCCCAGGGCCTCTAGAGAACAGTGTTCCAGTGTGTTGGTTGGTTGACCCCCAGGGCCTCTAGAGAACAGTGTTCCAGTGTGTTGGTTGGTTGACCCCAGGCCTCAGCAGTCCCATGTGTCCAACGTGTACAGTTGGTCCCCAGGGCCAGAGAACATGTCCAGGTTGTTGTCAAACCCAGTGCGTCTAGGAACAGTGTGCCATTTAGATCTATGATATGGTTGACCCAGGGCCAGAGAGGTCCGTGGTTCTAGGTCATCCTCCTACGAGACTGCTTGTTTATGATATAGGCCCAGGACACAAAGAACAAGCACCATGTATCTGTTTCTACCAACATGGTCTAAACAGGGTCCCTGTGTTGTTGTGCTACCATGACCGGGCCTGAGTTAAATGTTTATTTAGTTTTTCAGCCTCAAAACTGTCTCCTTTGTTGTTCATGCGTGTCCAGCACCACCTCAGACATTGATTCAGTTTGTTTTGGGTTGAATTCCATTTTTCGGAACAGGCTTAAAACAGGTCAGTCTGTTGGTTGTAGATGTCCCATGTGGCCAGAACCAGTGCTGCCTAAACACATTACTTTTTTGACAGCCTTAATGTCCTAGTGGTTGTTGTGAGTCTCAAGAACATTCATTAGTGGGGTGGTACCCAGGTACCATATCTAGAAAAGCCCCCCCTTTGTGCCCCCCGGCCCCTACATTCCGTCTGTGTCCCCTCATGTCAATTAAGCGGTCGTTTGTTGTGCCAGGTGAAACATGTTTACATTGGTCAAGCAGTCTGAAATGTACACATTGTGACTCAACCTAACATCTACACGTTACAACTGTACAATGTCGCTACAAAAAGGTCCAGTGTGATCTAGGATCAGTTGTGCATTTAAGATCATAATGAATATGATTACTGTACATGGACAGGAGAGACCTGATCCTAGGTCATCACTCCTACTGAGACGCTTTTATGAATATAGGCCCAGGAACAACAAAAGAGCTAAGCAACATGATATACCTTGTTCCATAATCAACATGTGTCATAACTAGGGCCCTGTGTGTTGTGCTATCATGTGACGGGCCTGGATTTAAATGTTTATTTAAAGCTTTTTCATCAAACTGTCCTCCTTTTGTTTTCATGTCAGATGGTCCAGCACCACCTCAGACAATTGATTTCATTTTTGGTGTAATTCTCATTTCTGGAAAAGGCTTAAAATACAGGATACAATCTTGCTATGTCACATGATTGCGCAAAACACAGGGCATGGCCTAAAACAATTACTTTATTGACATGTTATATGTCCCTAATAGGTTGAATTGAGTCTCAATGGAACATATTACATTAGTGGGGTAGTCAGTAAAATATACTATTAAAAGCCCCCCCCCCCCCCCCCCCCCCCCCCCCCCTGTCCCACTCAATTCAATTTAAGGGGCTTTATTGGCATGGGAAACATATGTTTACATTGCCAAAGCAAGTGAAATAGATAACAAACAAAAGTGAAATAAACAATAAAAAATTAACAGTAAACATTACACTCACAAAAGTTCCAAAAGAATAAAGGCATTCCAAATGTCATATTATGTCTATATACCGTGTTGTAATGATGTACAAATATTTAAAGTACAAAAGGGCAAATAAATAAACATAAATATGGATTGTATTTACAATGGTGTTTGTTCTTCACTGGTTGCCCTTTTCTTGTGGCAACAGGTTAGACATCTTGCTGCTGTGATGGCACACTGTGGTATTTCACCCAATAGATATGGGAGTTTATCAAAATTGGATTTGTTTTCGAATTCTTTGTGGGTCTTGTCACGCCCTGACCTTAGAGATCCCTTTTATTCTCTATTTGGTTAGGTCAGGGTGTGATTTGGGTGGCCATTCTAGTTTGTCTATAACTTTGTTGGCCGGGTGTGGTTCCCAATCAGAGGCAGCTGTCTATCGTTGTCTCTGATTGGGGATCATACTTAGGCAGCCGTTTTCCCACCTTAGTTTGTGGGATTTTGGTTTTGTGTAGTGGCGGTGTAGCCTGCAGTACTTTACGGTCGTGTGTATTATTGTTGTTTGGTCTGTGTTCATTTATTGAATTAAAATGTTCGCCTACCACGCTGCACCTTGGTCCGAGCCGTCAATCCACGAGCGTGACAGGTCTGTGTAATCTGAGGGAAATATGTGTCTCTAATATGGTCATACATTTGGCAGGAGGTTAGGAAGTGCAGCTCAGTTTCCACCTCATTTTGTGGGCAGTGTGCACATAGCCTGTCTTCCCGAGAGCCAGGTCTGCCTACCGCAACCTTTCTCAATAGCAAGGCTATGCTCACTGAGTCTGTACATAGTCAAAGCTTTCCTTAAGTTTGGGTCAGTCACAGTGGTCAGGTATTCTGCCACTGTGTACTCTATGTTTAGGGCCAAATAGCATTCTAGTTTGCTCTGTTTTTTTGTTAATTACTTGACACATTGGAAAGAATGATATTTTTGTTTTCTCATGATTTGGTTGGGTCTAATTGTGTTGCTGTCCTGAGGCTCTGTGGGGTCTCTCCCTCTCTGCCTCCCATCAGCCAGACCTCCCTCCACCTCCTACCACCTCTGTCCTCCTCTCCTCCCGAGGCAGACCCCTGTGTGGGGTAATATCCTTGCCACTGTTGATCCTAAAACATGCCATCAATACAACGTCCACATCAAAGCGTGGTTAAATCAACGCTGAAGCGTTAAGATGTCTTCCGGGTAAGACGATGTTATCCTTTTGGCTTTCCATACTTGTAGGTCAGAGGCGAGGCGCAGGTGAAGATCATCCGGACTAATTAGATGTTGGCCGCTTGACGGTTCCACTGCAGCTGGAAAAAAATAAAAGACGATTAAACGAGGATCTTTGATGGCTGATCTCAACCCATTTATGTTTGTAGACACCTACAAATAGGCTTTACCGCTACTGGCTTTATGGGTTCATAACCTGTAAAACAATAGTCCATCAATCTGGGCTTTATTTTACATGGACGCTACAAGCCTATATAAACATCGAAACTTTAAAAACAGAAGCTCATTGCGAAATAAACCAATCAATATCTATCGTTAATGAATCAATAGGATATTATTTACATGAATTACAATAGTTTATAAATCATCACTACAACTCAAATGGGGCATCGCATGTTGATCATTTAAAATTATATCAAATAAGTAGGCTAAGATGGCGCTCACCTTTCGGTACAGGTATTCCATGTTGTCTTCCTCTCAGGCTTTGCATTGATTGCATACAAACAGGAATATAAAATAATAGTAGTGGGACATGGGTGATTTCTGGGGCTAATATACAATACACCACCTACAGTCAGTAGCCTACACGTTGACTTTGTGATGTGTGTTATCCAACGGACTGGTTCAAAGCACTGGACATTGACCCGCATCACAGATTAAGATAACATTTTAAAACGCGTTTTAATTCAATTGTTCTAACTGCTGATTTACGCAGCTGTTATTCACCTCAGGTTGCCTAGGCTACGCTATATTTACGGCGCAGGGTGTGTATTAACGGAGTCATAAAACTGGGGGTGAGTGGGTAGACAAGCCAGGACTGGCGACGCATGTGCTCCCATCAGAACAGCGATAGCAATGCAGGTAGTTCAAAGGAGAGCCAACCTCACAAACATAAGCCAACCCCCACCTACATTGTAATAGACATAAAGGAGCAATTAGGGTTAAGTGCCTTGCTCAAGGGCACATCAACAGATTATTCACCTACTCAGCTCAGGGAATCGAACTAGAGACCTTTCAGTTACTGGCCCAACACTCTTAACAGTTAGGCTAACAGCCACCTATAGGGCTTTGGTTAAAAGTAGTGCACTTAATGTAATGAAAAAATTATGTTTCTACACATTTCTTAATGACTTATGCCATGTTAATATGATCTGAGTGAGAATGACTAACAAATGTAGGCCCCCTGGAGGTCAGGCCCCTGGGCATGTGCCCTGCATGCCCGGTCAGTATTTGGTCATGATTATTACAAGTTTAGATAGCTGTCAATCTAAAAATTGTTAGCTGACATGCCTAATTGAGTAACTGTTAGTGGCAGTCATAACAAGAGAAAAACTAATGATGCACAACCAAATTTTGAAATTGCACCTGGTGTATTCTACTATTCTAATGCTCAATAGTAAGCTGAGACCCGACTGAGTTCCTACATTTTTTCAATAATAATTGGTCGGATTCAACTTCTGTCTCCTTCTACTGGGCCAAACTGTCACAAAAACTCACTATTGCCATGATCATTCCATCTACTCAAGAATAATGTATTATTTCATAATTTAATTTATTGTATTGGTAGTCTAATGTTGTATATTGTTCTGTATTTGTCTAATGTACTGCATATTTTCATTAGGGACTGTCCATACCCCCTTTGAGACTACTATATTATTATCAAACATCATTCATCTTAAGAGAAAGTCAGACTCAAATCTGTTGTTTTTTATTACACCCCTTTGTCTTTATTTCATAAAGAAAAGTAAAAAGTGAAATATGAAAACATCTCCATAATCCCCCCACCTTCCTCTCCCCGTCCTCTCTTAGCCTGGATGCCTGACTTGGTTTGGTGTTCAACAACAAAACTGCCTGATCAAGAAACAAACCGCTAGCCCCTAGCCCCTAGCCCTTAGCCCCGAGCCCTTGGTACTGCTGAGTTGTTTGGATGGGTATACGCTAGGAAATAAGGGCTAGGGGTTAGGGAGTAAGGGGACTAGGGAGTAAGGGGGTTAGAGGCTAGGGAGTAAGGGGGTTAGAGGCTAGGGAGTAAGGGGGTTAGAGGCTAGGGAGTAAGGGGGTTAGAGGCTAGGGAGTAGGGGGGTTAGAGTCTAGGGAGTAAGGGGGTTAGAGGCTAGGGAGTAAGGGGGTTAGAGGCTAGGGAGTAAGGGGGTTAGAGGCTAGGGAGTAAGGGGGTTAGAGGCTAGGGAGTAGGGGGGTTAGAGTCTAGGGAGTAAGGGGGTTAGAGGCTAGGGGAGTAAGGGGGTTAGAGGCTAGGGGAGTAAGGGGGTTAGAGGCTAGGGAGTAAGGGGGGTTAGAGGATAGGGAGTGAGGGGGTTAGAGGCTAGGGAGTAAGGAGTAAGGGGGTTAGAGGCTAGGGACTAGGGAGGTAAGGGGGTTAGAGGCTAGGGAGTAGGGGGGTTAGAGGCTAGGGAGTAGGGAGTGAGGGGGTTAGAGGCTAGGGAGTAAGGGGGTTAGAGGCTAGGGAGTAAGGGGGTTAGAGTCTAGGGAGTAAGGGGGTTAGAGGATAGGGAGTAAGGGGGTTAGAGGCTAGGGAGTAAGGGGGTTAGAGGATAGGGAGTGAGGGGGTTAGAGGATAGGGAGTAGGGAGTGAGGGGGTTAGAGGATAGGTAGTAAGGGGGTTAGAGGCTAGGGATTAAGGGGGGTTAGAGGATAGGGAGTGAGGGGGTTAGAGGCTAGGGAGAGTAAGGGGGTTAGAGGATAGGGAGTTGAGGGGGTTAGAGGATAGGGAGTGAGGGGGTTAGAGGATAGGGAGTAAGGGTGGGTTAGAGTCTAGGGAGTTAAGGGGTTAGAGGCTAGGGAGTAAGGGGGTTAGAGGCTAGGGAGTAAGGGGGTTGAGGATAGGGAGTGAGGGGGTTAGAGGATAGGGAGTGAGGGGGTTAGAGGCTAGGGAGTAGGGGGGTTAGAGGATAGGGAGTAAGGGGGTTAGAGTCTAGGGAGTGAGGGGGTTAGAGGCTAGGGAGTAAGGGGGTTAGAGGCTAGGCTACAACTCTATTCCCCTAATGATAGATAGACCCCTGTGAAGATGCCATTGCTGCATCCCAAATGGCACCATATTCCCTATATAGTGGACCAGGTCAAAAGTATTGCACTTTATAGGGAATAAGGTGCCATTTGGGATGCATCCCAGGGATATAGCTCAGTTGGTAGAGCATGGTGTTTGCAACGCCAGGGTTGTGGGTTTGATTCCCACGGGAGGCCAGTATGAATGTATGCACTAACTGTAAGTCGCTCTGGGTAAGAGCGTCTGCTAAATGACTAAAATGTAAAATGTAATGTACCCTCCTCCACTATTACATCTCCTGGGGCCCTACAGCACCCTGTTATACAACACAAAGTGACTTAAAGTAGAATACTGAGACAGACAGACAGACAGACAAAACAAAGTGCTTTTGTTGGTGGCATCTCCTCTTCTCCTCTTCTTCACCAAGTCACATCAAGGTGTGGCGTCCCCTTTCCTTTCCTGTTCAATGGCTGAAACAGAACACAGGAAGACACGTATGTCAGTGCACACATCTGCATGGAGATGTTGGGGAGGGAGAATGTGAATTGGGCTCCGGTGGTGTGTGGTTGCGTTGCGGAGACGATACAGGGTGTGTCCCAAATGGTACCCTATTCCCTAAATAGTGCACTACTTTGACCAGGGCGTATAGGGAGAGAGTGATGCTGCTGATTCAGTGAGTTTGTAGTAGTGTTTGTATACTGCAGAGCTAGAGGAAGGTTGACAGCAGTAGAACTGACAACACCTATAGCTTGATGAGACGACTGCAGGGGAGAGAGAGAGGGGGGGGGGGGGGGGTGGGGGGGGGGGGGGGGGGGGGGCCACTGTTTGTTTTTTGTTGTCTTTTTTTTTTTCCCTCTCTCTCTTTTTTTCCTTCCCCTTTTCCTTTTTCCCTTTCTTTTGGGGGTTTTTTTTTTCCCCCTTTTCTTTTGCCCCGCCTCCGGGGGGGTTTTGTTTTTTTTTTTGGGGGGGGGGGGGGGGGCCCTTTAGGGGGGGGGGGGGGGGGCTTGGGGGGGGGGGGATTCCCCCCAAGGGGCCCCAAAAAACCCCCCAAAAAAAAAAAAGCCGGGCATCAATACCCTTTTTCAAACTTCCTCACCAAACTTCATTTCCCCCAAACCGGCCCTTCCTCATCTTTTTGGCAGGGGTTCTTCCTTTCGTAGGTTTCAGTTGGTTTGAGAATCTTGTCAGTAGGGTAGAAAGGTTTAAGAGGAGGGGAGAAAAGGAAGGGAGAGAGAGGGAGGAGAGAGGGAAGAGAGGCAGGGGAAAGGGAAGGGAAAAATTGGGGGAAGGAAGAGGAAGAGGAGGGGCAGAGGGGAAGTATAGCAAATAATTTTGTTTAAATTTTGCCGTTGGACAGACCAGGGACAAAGCATTTTTGAGAAACGTGGTAAATTTAAAGATTTTTGTAAAATGATATTCTGTTCAGAGAGGGGAATGGAAAATTTAAATAAGTAAGGACGTTCCCCCAAAGTCCCCAAACCCCCAAAACCCCCTACCCCAATACCCAAGCCCTTAAAGCCCCAAAATTTACCCACCCCACCCCACCCCCCACCCCACCACCCCCCCCCCCACCCCCCCAAACCCCCCCCCCCCAAAAGAAAAAAAAAAAAAGGGGTTTAAAAAAAAGGGGGAAAAAAAAAAAAAAAGAAAAACCCAAAAAAAGAAAAAAGAAAAAAAAAAAAAACCCACACAAAAACCCCAACCCCCAAAAACCCCAAACCCCAAAAGCAACCCCGCCCACCCACCCACCCAGCCCAAACCCCCCACCCACTACCCAACCCCCTTTTCCACTCATAACCCTGCTTACCAAATCTACCAAAAACCACCTTTTTTTCCTTTTTTTCCCCCCCTTTTTTTCTTCATTTCTTTCCCCCTCCCCCCCTCCCCCCTTTAACCCCCCCTTTCCCCCCCCTTTTTTTACGGGAAAAAAACCTTTAAAGGGGGGGAAAAGGGGGGGGGGGAAAACTATTTCCCCCAAAAAGGGGTTTAAAGGGGGGGGGGGGGTGGAGGTAAAACTTTAAGTGTTTTTCTAAAATTTTTCCCCAAGGGGGGGGTTTTTTTTTTGGGGGGAGAAAAAAAAGAAAAAAAAACCCCCCCCCCCGGGGGGGAAAAAAGGGGGGGGGGGAAAAAAAAGGGGGGGGAAAAAAAACCCCAAATTTTTTTTTTAAAAAACCCCCCCCCCCCCCCCCCCCCCCAAAAAGGGGGGGGGGGGCCCCCCCCCTTTTTGGGGGGGGGGGCCCCCCCCCCCCCCCCCCCCCCCCCCCCCCGGGGGGGGCCCCCCCCCCCCCCCCCCCCCCCCCCCCCCCCGGGGGGGGGGGGGGGGGGGGGGGCCCCCCCCCCCCCCCCCCCCCCCCCCCCCCCCCCCCCCCCAAAAAAAGGGGGAAAAAAAAAGGGGGAGAAAAAAAAAAAAAAAAAAAAAAAACCCCCAAAAGGGGGCCCCCCCCCCCCGGGGGAGGCCCCCGAGGGGGGGAAAAAGGGGGGGGGGGGGGGGGGGAAAAAAGGGAAAAGGGGGGAGAGGACAAAGGGGAAGAGGGACGGGGGCGGGAACCCCCCAAAAACCCCCCGGGGGGGCCCCCCAAGAGAAAAAAAAAATTTTTTTTTTCCTTTTTTAAATTTAAATTTTCCCCGGGGAAGTTTTAAACCCAAAAAAAGGGGGCCCCCCCCCCGGGTTTGTTTAGAAAAAAAAAAAAATGGGGGGGAGGGGGGAGGACGGGGAGGGAAGGATCCTTTTGTTCAAAATCAATTTTTTTATTCTTCCAAATGAAAAATTTTTAAAAAAGGTTTTGATTTTTGCTTTTTTAAAATCTGTAAGAAGGGAATAGAAAATTTTTTTAGAAAGGAAAAAGGTTATTTTTAACAATGGAAAAATTTTGGAAAAAGTGACAAGAAAAGGGGGGCCACTTTGCAGCCAAAAGAAACCCGGGAAAAAACCCCGGTAAGAGCACAAAACCATTTTTCCCCCCCCCCTTTTTTAAAAACATTTCCCTTCCAGAGGACGAACAGGCCCCGGGGGGACAGGGAGGCCCCTGCCAAGGCTTTAGGCCCCCTTTTCCCCGGGGTAGGGGGCCCCCCTTTTAATAGGTTTTTGGGGAAAATTTGGGGCCCCCATTACATCGGCGGGCTGGGGGGGCCTGTTATTAAGGGGGGTTTCCCAGGGGGGCCCCTTTTTTAATTCTACGGAAGGGGGCCCCATAAGTCCTCCTTCCCCCTTTTTCTCTTCATTAGTTAATATTATGTTCCAGGGAAACTTGTGGAAGAGCCACCAAATACACTGCCGGCTGTGCTGTGCTGCTCATGAAGATAGTGTATGATGCATTATTTAATCAATGCACTGAGGGGATTTTGGGATATTGGCATTCTGAGGTCAGGGACAGATGATGTAACACTTGAATGTCTCAAAATACAATTATTTATTTATTCTTCAAAACAATTTAGTGAAATAATTATATTGGTTTTGATAATATATATTGTCCTTTTTTAAATACTGTAATTTGTCTGTACAGTATATAGTTTTCTAATATTTTTCCTTCATGTTTTAATGTTTTGTTCCAAATGGTACCCTATTCCCTTTATACAATGGCCAATGGTGCTTTGGTCAAAACTAGTGCACTATATAGAGAATAGTGTACCACGTCTGAACAGACCCAATAGCAATCAGCCGGAATAAACCCCCTGTACAGAGCACATACTGTACATCCATTAGCTGACGACATTCCTCATTTTGATTAGAACATGTACATCTCCCAGAGGACTGTATTACAGGCTATTACATACGGCATGGCTGGACAGTGGATGGCCCCTGCTATTACATACGGCATGGCTGGACAGTGGATGGCCCCTGCTATTACATACGGCATGGCTGGGACAGTGGATGCCCTGCTATTACATACGGCATGGCTGGACAGTGGGACGGCCCCTGCTATTACATACGGCATGGCTGGACAGTGGATGGCCCCTGCTATTACATACGGCATGGCTGGACAGTGGATGGCCCCTGCTATTACATACGGCATGGCTGGACAGTGGATGGCCCCTGCTATTACATACGGCATGGCTGGACAGTGGACGGCCCCTGCTATTACATACGGCATGGCTGGACAATGGATGGCCCCTGCTATTACATACGGCATGGCTGGACAGTGGATGGCCCCTGCTATTACATAACGGCATGGCTGGACAGTGGATGGCCCCCCTGCTATTACATACAGCAATGGCTGGACATTGATGGCCCCTGCTATTACATACGGCATGGCTGGACAGTGGATGGCCCTGCTTACATACGGCATGGCTGGACAGTGGATGGCCCCTGCTATTACATACGGCATGGCTGGACAGTGGATGGCCCCTGCTATTACATACGGCATGGCTGGACAGTGGATGGCCCCTGCTATTACATACGGCATGGCTGGACAGTGGATGGCCCCTGCTATTACATACGGCATGGCTGGACAGTGGATGGCCCCTGCTATTACATACGGCATGGCTGGACAGTGGATGGCCCCTGCTATTACATTCGGCATGGCTGGACAGTGGATGGCCACTGCTATTATGTACATACGGCATGGCTGGACAGTGGATGGCCCCTGCTATTACATACGGCATGGCTGGACAGTGGATGGCCCCTGCAATTACTTACGGCATGGCTGGACAGTGGATGGCCCCTGCAATTACCTACGGCATGGCTGGACAGTGGATATTCGCTATATAGTGCACTACTTTTTACCCATACGTCATGCACTATGTAGGGAATAATGGGCCCTGGTCAAAAGTAGTGCACTATGTAGGCAATAGAGTGCCATTTGGAACAGTCATTATTGCCCAGTCTCAGTGGTGCTCTCTAGCAGTCTGCAGTGCCATCTAGTGGTCATTGTGGAAATGTACAGCTTCTAACTCCCTTCCAAATCAAATCAAATCAAATGTTATTTGTCACATGCACGGAATACAGCTGGTGTAGACTTTACCGTGAAATGCTTGCTTTACGAGCCCTTCCCAAAGATGCAGAGTTTAGTAATAGTAACATAGTGTGTATGTATGTGTGTTTTTGTTGTGTCGGTATACGTGTGTGTTGTGTGTGTGTGCGTATGTGGTGTATGTGAATGTGTGTGGGTTTTGTGTGAGAGTGTCAATGTAGTGTGTGTGAGTGAGTGTGTATATGGTGTGTATATACTGTATAGTGAGTGTGCGTAGGGTCAGTGCAAGATAGTCAGTGCATATAGTTTGGGTACCATTCATTAACTATTTAGCAGTCTTATGGCTTGGGGGTAGAAGCTGTCTAGGAGCCTGTTGGTCTGAGGGCCTATGCTCCGGTACCGTTTGTTGGACGGTAGTAGAGTGAACAGACTATGGCTTGGGTGGCTGGAGTATTTGGCAATTTTTCGGGCCTTCCTCTGACCGCCTGATATAGAGTTCCTGGTTGGCAGGGAGCTCGGCCCCAGTGATGTAACTGGCTGTCTGCATCACCCTCTGTAGCGCTTTGTGGTCAAGGGCGGTGCATTTGCCATACAAAGTGGTGATGCAGCCAGTCAAGATGCTCTCGATGGTGCAACTGTAAAACTTTTTGAGGATCTGAGGGCCCCATGCCAAATCTTTTCAGCCTCCTGAGAGGTAAGAGGCTCTGCCGTGCCCTCTTCACGACTGTGCAGGTGAGTGTGGACCAGTCCTTAGTGATGTGGATGCCAAGGAACTTGAAGCTCTCAAACTGCTCTACAACAGCCCTGTCTTTCTTGGTATGGGGGTTTCTCTGACCAAAGAGATAGATCAGTGAAAGTAATATGATGACATTTACAAATCAGAATTCAGACACCACATGATTAACTCTGAAGAGGTTGTATCCAGTCATTTAATTAATCCAGTCATTTCCTGAACTCTTCATATCAACTTGCATTCCATCCACCAAATTCATGTACTTATACATTCATGTAGGCCTACCCAAAATTGGAATTGGCATGTAAATGTACTTCTTAAATTGATTGAATTGAAATGGAATTGACCCAAAACCTTGCTTCCCTAATCTGAGAACATTGTGTAAAGATTGTTTTGAAGTTTGTGAAAGTTGTGTGTGTGTGGATGGAGAAGAAGAAACCGTCTGTGACCTTCACTCCGTGTTCAGTCTCTCCCATTACTGTGACCTTCACTCCGTCTTCAGTCTCTCCCATTAACCTTTGTGTTGTAAATGTTAACATTGCTAAAATCTTCACTACACAAAGGTCAGTCTGACCAATAGCAATTACCTGTCCGAAAAACCTGCAGCATGTCTTTGGATCCTAACAAAGTCTAAACGTGTTTAATTAAAGTAGTCTGTTATTTATCTGAACGAACCAAGTGTCTGATTCATGATGTTTCATAGCAGTGGTAAAACGACATAGTCATGCACCCTTTTACATGCAGCATGACTGAGTTAGGTGCTATATGTATTAGGCCTACTTGGGTGGCTGTGGGTGTCGAAGGTGGAATGTCTATGAATGGCCACAGGGGGGCAGCAGTGGTTGAAATTGGAATGTCTATGAATGGCCACACTGGGGCAGCAGGGGTTGAAGGTGGAATGTCTATGAATGGCCACAGGGGGGCAGCAGTGGTTGAAGGTGGAATGTCTATGAATGGCCACACTGGGGCAGCAGTGGTTGAAGGTGGAATGTCTATGAATGGCCACACGGAAGCAGCAGTGTCATACAAAGGGAGAACAGATGAGCTGACAGTGGAGATCCTGGTGCCTAGCAGCTTTACACCGTTCCAAAACTGACCTTGCCTGTAAAACTCCTTTGAATTTGAATATCCCCCACAAGAGTTTACCTTACCATCTAAATCATATTGTTTTTGTTTGTGGTTTGTAGGACTCGAGGATGTATTTTGGTCTGACTGACCTCAAGAGAAGTAGTCAAATACTGTGTGGACAGAGAGAAGGACTGAGAGATGGACAGAAGGACAGAGAGAAGTAAAGAGAAAAGAACAGGGAGAAGTACAGAGAGAAAGACAGGGAGAAGGACAGGGAGAAGGACTGAGAGAAGGACTGCGAGAAGGACTGGGAGAGGGACAGGGAGAAGGACTGGGAGAAAGACTGAGAGAAGGACTGGGAGAAGAACTGAGAGAAGAACTGAGAGAAGGACTGAAAGAAAGACTGGGAGAAGGACTGGGAGCGAACCGGGAGAAAACCAGGGAGAGGGACAGCGAGAAGCACTGAGAGAAGGACTGGGAGAAGGACAGGGAGAAGCACAGGGAGAAAGACTGGGAGAGGGACAGGATGATGGACTGGGAGAAGGACTGGGAGAAGGGCTGGAGAAGGGACAAGAGAGGACGGGGGAGAGGACTGGAGAAGGACATGAGAAGGACAGTGAGAAGGACTGGTAGAGGGACTTGAGAAGGACTAGGAAAGACGGGAGAAGGACTGGGAGAGGACGGCAAAAGGACTAGGAGAATGACTGGGGAAGTGGAATGTTATCAGAAAAGAAAGGAGAGGAGAGGGAGGATAGGGGAGGAGATGGAGGGAGAGGAGAGTAGAGGAGAGAGAGGAGAGGAGTCGGAGAAGAGGGAGGGCGAGGAGAAAAAGAGAGGAGGAGGGAGGAAGGGATAGAGGAGAGTAGGCAGACTGGCTCTCAAGAGAAGACATGCTAATGTGCCACTGCCCACAAATGAGGTGGAAACTGAGCTCACTTCCCTAAGCCTCCTGCCAATGTATGACCATATTAGAGACACATATTTCCTCAGATTACAGTGAATCCACAAGATTTGAAAACAAACCCAATTTGCTAAAACTCTCCCTTATCTACTGGGTGAAAAACCACAGTGTGCCAATCACAGCTGCAGATTTGTGACCTGTTTCCACAAGAAAAGGAAGGGCAACCAGTGAAGAACAAACACCATTGGTAAATACAACCCAGATTTATGTTTATTTATTTTCCCATTTGTACTTTAACTATTTTGCACATGTTACAACACTGTATCAATACTACATAATATGAACATTGAAATGTCTTTATTCTTTTGAACTACTTTTCTGAGTGTAATTTTTACTGTTAATATTTATTGTTTTAATTCACTTTGTTTACTATCTACTTCCTTGCTTTGGCAATGTTAAAAAAACGTTTCACATGCCAATAAAGCCCTCATTGAAATTGAAATTGAGTAAGGAGAGGATAGAGAGGAGAGGAGAGGGGGTACTTCTCTTCTCCTCTCTTCTGCTTCTCTTCTCTTCTTCTCTTTCTCCTTGCTCTCTGCTGTCTCGTCTCCTTTCTTCTCCTGCTCGTTCTCTTCTCTTCTGCTTCTCCTTCCTTCTCTGCTCTTCTCTGTTCCTCTTCGCTTGCTCTTCTCTTCCTTCTTTCTTTCTTCGCTTCTCTTCTCTTCTCTTCTCTTCTCTTTCTCTTCCTTCTCTCTCCTTCTCGTCTCTTCTCTTCTCTCTCTGTCTCTTCTCTTCTCTTCGCGTCTCTCTCTTCTCTTACTCTTCTCTTTCTCCCCCCCGGAGGAGGTAGAGAAAAATCAGTGTTTGAACCCTAGGAGTAATGAACCTAACACTATGGTGCAGTGAAATCTTTGATGTAGCCAATGAGGATGGAACATCCATATGTCTGCTTCAGCATGAGGATTTATGTTATGTCACAGGGACCCCAGCAGGACGACTGAGACAGAAATGGAGGGAGGGAGAGATGTCGAGAGAAAGGGAGAGAGTTGGGTAGTTCAGGACGGAAAGATATAGAAAAAAGAAAGTATAGTTAGCGAGATATTTAGTAGATAGATGAAGAGATGGATACAGGGAAAGATAGACAGAGAGGAAGGACAACAATTAAACTCTAAATGCAGAAGAAACCCGTTCTTAAAACCACAACTTATCCACGGATCTAAAAGAGGAACTGACATTTAAACATGGGGGAAAATGGCCCTGTGTGTGTGTGTTTGTGTTTGGTGTAAAAAGAGGCAGTGTGCAACGTTTCTCTTCCACCAAGGTTATCAGCTTAAGCTCTGTGTTTTTTAAGCTTAAAACATCAAAGACACGTGTCCCTTCTCTCATCCTCTCATCTCGCTCTCTCCCCTCCCCCCCCCCTCTCCTCTCTCTCTTCTCTCTCTCGTCTCTCTCCTCTCTCATCTCTCTCTCTCTCCTCCTAAAAAAAAAAAAAAAAGAAAAAGAAAAATCTCGGTCTATCATCCCTCCCCCTCTCTCTTCCACCCTCTCTCTCTTCTCCTCCCTCTCCTCTCTTCTCCCTATCCCCCCCCTCTCTCTCTCTCTCCCTCTCTCTCGCTCTCCCTCCCCCTCCCCCTGCTCTCTCTCTCCTCCCCGCCTCCGCCCTCCCATCCGTCCTCTCTCCCTCCCCCGTCTCCCATCTCAGATCTCTCATTCTTTTCTCTCCCTCCCCCACCCCCCCCTCTCCTTCTCTCCGCTTCTATTCCCCCTCTCGGTGTCCTCTCGTCCTCCCCTCCCTCCCCCCCTCTCAGCTCTCTCGTCTCCCGTCTCTCCTCCTCACTCTTTCGTCCTGCCTCCTCTCTCTCTCCGTCTCTCTCAGGTTGTCTCTCTCCTCCTCCTCTCTCCATCTCTCTCTTCTCGCCTCTCAATCCTCCCGTCTCTCTCTCCTCTCCCTCCCCACAGTGCGCCCTCTCTCTCTCCTGCCCCCCCCCTCTCTCTCAATCGTCTTCTCTGCTCTCTTCCTCCCTCTCTTCTTCTCCCATCAACCACCGGAGGGGCTCTAGTGCCCTCCCCCCCCAGCCCCCCTCTCTCGCTCGCCTCCCCCCCCCTCTCGTCTCTCGATACCCTCTCTCTCTCTCCTCCCTCTCAGTCCCTGCATGCGTCTCTACGCTTTCGTCTATCAGCTCGTCCGTCCCGCTCTCGTCCTCCCTTCCCCCTCCTCTCATCTCTCTCGTGCCTCCTATTCCTCCATCTCGCTCCTCCTGTCCTCGCCGGTCTCCCCCCCTCTCCTCCCGCCAAGGGAAGCATCCTGCGTCTCGGTTCCTTCCCACAACTTCTCTGCTCTTTCTCCTCTCTCGTCCCCGGCAACCCTCTTCTCTCCGTCTCCTCCCCCGTTCCTCCGCCTCTCTAGGCTCTCTCACTCTCATCGTCGTACCTCCCCCTCTCTCATCTCCCTCCCCCCCCTCCTCTCTCTCATCTCTCTCTCTCTCGCTATGCTCCCTGCTCTCCTCCTCTCTTCTCTACTCCCTCCCTCCATCCCCCCCCCCCTCTCTCTCTCTCTCCATCCCTCCCCCTCTCTAAGGCAGATATAAAATACAGAAGTATATAGCTGAGGACGTCAATGAACGCAACAAAGTGAGAACCAGAGCGTTTGTGTGTGTTTGTGTGTGTGTGTATGTCACAGGCGGTTGGTGGCACCTTAATTGGGGACGGGCTCGTGGTAATGCCTGGAGCGGAATCAGTGGAATGGTATCAAAATACATCAAACACATGGTTTGATGCCATTCCATTCGCTGCATTCCAACCATTATTATGAGCCATCCTCCCCTCAGCAGCCTCCTCTGGTGTGTGTGAGAAAGAGTGTTTATTTGAATGCAGTTAAAGCATGTATGACACTATACACGTTTCATCACATCATTGTCCAAACTTCATCTGTCCGTCTGTCTGGCTATAGAGGCCAGGTTAAGGTTGAATCAAAGGTGATGTTGGCCAGACTGACATGGGAGAAGAGCAGGGCAGGTCTGAGGTAAGCAGAGAAAACATCAACTTCTATTAGGAGCACCATGAAGATCGGATGTAATTCTATAAGGGACACACACAAACACACACACACACACACGTTTGTTTTACTATCCTTGTGGGGCCCAAACAATTGATTCCCATTCAAAATCCTATTTTCCGTAACCACTAACCCTAACCCTAAACCTAACCCTTAACCCAACCTTAACCTTAACCCCAAACCCCTAACCTTAACTGTAACCATAACCCTAATTGTAACCCTAACCCTAAACCTAACCCCTAAGCCTAAAAATGCCTTTTTCCTTGTGGGGACTGGCGAAATGTCCCCACTTGTCCGAATCTTCCTTGTTTTAAGATCCTTGTGAGGACTTCTGGTCCCCACAAGGATAGTAAAACCAAACACACACACACACACAGTCAGGATGTTTCCTGAGTTATGTTATTATCCTGTTGCCATGGTGAGAGGTTCCGCTGCGGAAAAGCAAGGTGACAGTCTGTCTCTTGTTACCCTGACGATGGGGCGCTGGATTAATAGGGGGGATGTTTATGTGTGTGTGTATGTGTGTTTATTAGTGTGTGTGGTGACAGTCTTCATTTGTTTATATTGATGAGATGACGCTGGGGCATGGAGTGTGTGTGTGTGTGTGTGGCACAGAGACAAAAAGAGTACAGGCCCTTCTCTTCTCTCTGAAACAGCAGACTTCAGTATTAAAGCAGACTACATATTAAGGCTAATCATAGTTGAGATGTTAGCAGGGGATGCCCCACAACTAATGAGAAAAATGTCCTGTCTCTTTGTACCGCTACTCTCTCTCTTGACAGGACAGGACAGGACAGGACAGGAGGATCATAGCTTCTAGTTAATGAGTACGGTCTGGCACGCACGTACACAAATAGACTGAGGAAACTGGAGTATTCAACTGAACTTTATTGGCACACTGTTACTTGGACATGAAGCAATCACACTGCTGATATGGTTAGGATGTATCTCACAAAAATCTAAAGACAAAGACTAGCATTCAAAATGTGACAGCAAAGCAACTCATGCGAAACGTTTACACGTTTACAGGTTTTTATGGGGCTTGATAACAACTATCAATAATCAACGCAATTAATGTAATCAATAATAACAATGATCAATAATCAATCAAATGTTTTTCCTATGTTCTAAAAGACCCATGGGATCTTCCCTCTCCTCTCCTCTCCTCTCCTCTCCTCTCCTCTCCTCTCCTCTCCTCTCCTCTCCTCCTCCTCTCCGCTCATCTCCTCTCCTCATCTACTCTCCTCTCCTCTCCTCTCCTCTCCTCTCCTCTCCTCTCCCTACTCCTCTCCTCTCCAGTTAAAACCAGTAGTGTAAAGTACTTAAGTAAAAATACTTTAAAGTACTACTTAAGTAGTTTTTTGGGGTATCTGTGCTTTACTTTACTATTTATATTTTTTCCAACTTTTACTTTTACTTCACTACATTCCTAAAGACAATAATGTACTTTTTACTCCATACATTTTCCCTGACACCGAAAATTACTTGTTACATTTTGACAGGAAAATGGTCCAATTCACACACTTATCAATAGAACACTCCCTGGTCATCCCTACTGCCTCTGATCTTGCGGACTCACTAAACACAAATGCTTTGTTTGTTAATTATGTCTGAGTGTTGGAATGTGCCCTGGCTAACCATCAATTAAAAATAAAATAAAATTGGGTCTGCTGGTTTGCTTAATATACGGAATTTGAAATGGTTCATACTTTTACATTTTAGCAGTTCCATTTACTTTTGATACTTAAGTACATTTAAAACCAAATACTTTTAGACTTTTACTCAAGTAATATTTTACTGGGTGACTTTCACTTTTACTTGAGTCATTTTCTATTAAGGTATCTTTACTTTTACTTAAGTATGAAAATTTTGTACTTTTTTTCACCACTGGTTAAAACCCCCTAAAGTCGATGTCCACAACCCCACAGAAATCTAGTTAGCATAATAAAAAAATCCCCATCAAAATCCGTCTGTTTAAACTAGAGATATCTGCTTCCGCATCTGCGGTGGAAGGTGGCCAAGCTACAGCGGTGTTTGTCAGACCATGAGGTATCCCGAAAATCGGTCTTCACACGAAAACGTCTGTAGCGTCCAAATGGTTTGGCCTACAAACTAATACGACCCCTCTATGATGAGACTCTCATGATGGTGTTCTCCGTTTTGCTCTACGGTCCCCCCACAAGCGTCACGGCATTCGTCTGAAGTCGGTAGAGCCGATATGCCAACTTCTGTCTGTAGCATCCAAACAGTTTGGGCTACACACTCCCCTATGGAAAGGTGAGACTCACGAAGATGTACAGTACCAGTCAAAAGTTTGGACACACCTACTCATTCAAGTGTTTTTCTTTACATTGTAAAATAATAGTGAAGACATCAAAACTATGAAATAACACATATGGAATCATGTAGTAACCATCTGGTTTGGGCTTAGTGGGACTCATTTGTTTTTCAATAGGACAATGACCCAACACACCTCCAGGCTGTGTAATTTGCAAATTGTATCACATTTACATAAGTGTTCAGACCCTTTACGCAGTACTTTGTTGAAGCACCTTTGGGAGCAATTACAGCCTGGAGTCTTCTTGAGTATGACGCTACAAGCTTGGCACACCTGTATTTGGGGAGTTTCTCCCATTCTTCTCTGCAGATCCTCTCAAGCTCTGTCAGGTTGGATGGGGAGCGTTGCTGCACAGCTATTTACAGATCTCTCCAGAGATGTTCGATCGGGTTCAAGTCTGGGCACTGGCTGGGCCACTCAAGGACATTCAGAGACTTGTCCATAAGCCACTCCTGCATTGTCTTAGCTGTGTGCTTAGGGTCGTTGTCCTGTTGGATGGTGAACATTCGCCCCAGTCTGAGGTCCTGAGTGCTCTGGAGCAGGTTATCATCAAGGATCTGCTCAGTTAATCTTTCCCTCAATCCTGACTAGTCTCCCTGCAACTGAAAAACATCCCCACAGCATGATATTGCCACCACCGTGCTTCACCGTAGGGATGGTGCCAGGTTCCTCCAGACATGACGCTTGGCATTCAGGCCAAAGAGTTCAGTATTGGTTTCATCATACCAGAGAATCTTGTTTCTCATGGTTGAGAGTCTTTAGGTGCCTTTTAGCAAACTCCAAGCGGGCTGTCATGTGCCTTTTACTGAGGTGTGGCTTCCGTCTTGCCACTCTAACATAAAGGCCTGATTGGTGGAGTGCTGCAGAGATTGTTATCCTTCTGGAAGTTTCTCCCATCTCCACAGAGGAACTCTGGAGCTCTGTCAGATTGACCATTGGGTTCTTGGTCACCTCCCTAACCAAGGCCCTTCTCCCCCGACTGCTCTGTTTGGCCGTGCGGCCAGCTCTAGGAACAGTCTTGGTGGTTCCGAACTTCTTCCATTTAAGAATGATAGAGGCCACTGTGTTTTTGGGGACCTTCAATGCTGCAGAAATTTTTTGGTACCCTTCCCCAGATCTGTGCCTCGACACAATCATGTCACGGACAATTATTTTGACCTGATGGCTTGGTTTTTGCTCTGACATGCACTGTCAACTGTGGGACCATATATATATATCCAAATCATATCCAATCAATTGAATTTTCCACAGGTGGACTCCAATCAAGTTGTAGAAACATTTTAAGGATGATCAATGGAAACAGGATGCACCTGAGCTCAATTTCGAGTCTCATAGCAAAGGGTCTGAATACTTATGTAAATAAGGTATTTTCTTTGCAAATTTGCATATATTTCTAAAAACCTGTTTTCGCTGTGTCATTATGGGGTATTGTGTGTAGATTGATCAGGAAAAACATTTATTTAATACATTTTAGAATAAGGCTTTAACGTAACAAAATGTAGAAAAAGTCA